GCTGCGGCGGCGGTGTCTGCTGCTGCTGCGGCTGCTGCTGCTGCTGCGGCTGCTGCTGCTGCTGCTGCTGCTGTGGCTGCTGCTGCTGCTGCTGCTGCTGCTGCTGCTGCTGCTGCTGCTGCTGCTGCTGCTGCTGCTGCTGCTGCTGCTCCAGCAGGTCCAACTCCCGCAACTCCTGCCGCTCCCTCTCCAACAGCACCTGCTCCTCACGCTCACGCCGACGGGCCGCCTGGAGACGTGTGTCGTGGCGGTGGGGAGGCGGAGTGGACTCCGCAGAACCAGTGCCTCCAGCTCCAGTCTCCTCAGAACCAGCACCTCCAGTGCCAGCGCCTCCAGCACCAGCACCCCCAGAACCAGCACCCCCAGGACCAGCACCTCCTGTGCCAGCACCTCCAGCTCCATCACCCCCAGAACTAGTACCGCCAGTGCCAGGACCTCCAACTCCAGCACCCCCAGAACTAGCACCTCCAGTGCCAGCACCTCCAGCTCCAGCACCCCCAGAGCTAGCGCCACCTGCGCCAGCACCTCCAGCTCCAGCACCCCCAGGACTAGCACCTCCAGTGCCAGGACCTCCAGCTCCAACACCCCCAGGGCTAGCGCCACCTGCGCCAGCACCTCCAACTCCAGAACCCCTCAAACGAGCACCCCCGGACCGAGTACCGCCAGTGGCTGCACCTCCAGCTCCAAAACCAACTGAGTCCACAGTAGCCTGTCGCGGAAGTACCGAAGGCTGCTGAGGGGACTGTGAGGAGGACTGCGGGGAGGGAGCCGCTACCTGACGCGCGACCGAGGGTAGAGGGGTAGCGTGAGACACACCTGACGGGGCAGGACCAGGGGGGGGTGGGGGTACCGGAGGAGCGGGAGCAGGGGGAAGAGAGGGTGCGAGGAAAAGGGGGGGAAGGGGAACCGGGAGACCTCGACAGGGGTACCGGGTGTAGTAGGACACTGACTCGTCGAACCGGACGTCACGGGAGTCTAGGAACTGGTGGAGGGGCGGGTGGTAAAAGGACCAGTCGGCCGAGGCTACCGGGAAACCAAGGAAGACACAGGGGACGGCGCGAGCCGAGAGCTTGTCCGCAGAGGTGTCGCGGACAAGCGCAAGGCAGCCCCAGACACGAAAAGCTGACCCAACACCAGGGGACCCGGTCCAAAGACTGGTCGGTGAAGCCTCTGGCCGCGAGACGCGCGGCTGGAGGTTCAGCTGGTGAGCGGCGTAGCGAACCGCGTAGGGCCACAGAAAATGGGGCGCACGGGCATGAATCATGGACGTGCGGGCGATGTCCATGACCAAGCCAATGCGGCGCTCAGCAACCCCATTCTGCTGTGGGGACTCTGGCAGCGTCCAGGACTGTACGATGCCCTGCTCGCCGCAGAATCCGGCAAGAATGCCTGAGCGAAACTCACCCCCACGGTCAGAGTGGAGACAGGAGACACGACGGCCACGAGTGCCCTCAGTGGCTAGAAGCCACCGGATCAGCGTAGAAGTCACCTCAGACTTCTTCGCGAGAGGAAACACCGTGGTGTACCTGGAGAAGTCGTCGACGACCACCAGAAAGTAGCGCTCCCTCTCAGGTCCCTGCGTAGGTGCAGGGCCCCAGACATCCAAGTGGAGTGTCTGGAAGGGAGCAGTGGCCGGACGAAGGGAGGAGGAGTGCGGAGTGGCACGAAGACGGCCGGCGACGCAAGGAGTGCACGGCGGCGCAGGCGAGGGAGGGAGCGACGGGAAGACGCGAGGGAGACCTGAGACAAGACGGTGACCAGCCATAGTGCGGAGGCGGGGGATCGACGCATGGCCAAGACGGTGGTGCCACAAGACGGTCCGGTGGGTGAAAGACCGACACGAGCAAGACGCAGCAACTAGACCGGACACAGCAACCTGACCGGACACAGCAACCTGACCGGACACAGCAATCGGTGGGGACGCAGTAACCTGACCGGACTCTGCTACCGGGGGGGACGAAGCAACCTGACCAGACGCAGCTACCTGCGGGGGCGGAGTGTGCAGGACGAAGAGACCTGAGTGGGGCTCTCTGGTGAACGTGGCAAGAACTGCCCCGGTGGAAGAGTCCGTACAGATCGCAGTCCTCCCGTGCGCAGGAAAAGTGACTGTGATCCCCCGGTCCTGAAGGTATCCAACACCCACCAAGTTCCGAGAGAACGAGGGGATGTAGAGACCAGTGAGGAAACCAGAGGGGACAGCTGGGCACGGGAGGGTGGTCGAGCTGCGAGCAACTGCTGGTCCTGAAGTAGGATCAGCCAGGGCAACTGGGACTGGAGCCGAAAGAGGTGTGACAGTGGTGTGGTCGCGGAAGAAGCACTGAGACGCGCCGGAGTCCAGCGTGAAGGAGAGCGACGCAACAGCAGTCGTCACGGCCGGGCTAGTGACTACACAAGCACCTACACTAAAAGCACAAGTACCGACACTAGCAACAGGCAAAGGTCCTAAGCTAGGTACACGTAAGCCAAGAGATCCGTACGTGACAGAATAAACAGCATCCATAGACATATCAAACACAGGGTAACCACTACGAAACAGACCGGGCCAGATCGGGGGAGCCGACTCAGGCCCAAAACGCTCACGGTAAAGGTCGTCGAGGTGGCTGTAGCAGCGCTGTGCAGAGTGGTCAGGACGCCAGCAGGTAGTGCCAGCGCCAGGGCCGGTCAGGATCCGGTACTGGCAGGGGCCGACGTCGCGGCCACCGCGACGAGCCCCCCAGCTGGCTGGGCCGCTGCTGCAGCCAACGCGACCTGAACCACCAGGCCCCCACGGCTGCTGAGGGCGCCACAGCTGCTGAGGGCGCCCCTGCTGCTGCGGAAGCCACTGCTGAAACGGCCGCTGCTGCTGTCCCTGCTGCTGGAGAACCCTAGTGGACTCCATGATAAAAGCTAGCGGGGTGCAGGAGCGGCAGGCTAGGAGCGACAGGTGAAACTAGGCGAGGAACGGCTGGAGTACGGAGCAAACTGAGCTACGAGCGAGGGGCGAGAACGGTTGGAGCGAGAACGGCTGGAGCACAACTGGCTGGAGCTAGAAACGGCGAGCTAGGGCTGGCTGGAGGTAGGAACGGCCGGAGCTAGAGACCGTAGGTGCGGCTGTCGGCTGCCGCTAGTAGAGCCACTGGCAGTGGAACGTACGTGCGACAGTAGGGGCTGCAGTACTGACGGCTGCGGGATGCAGGCAACTGTGCAGGTCGTCCGGCAAGCAGGAACGCGGCCGACAGTTGCAGGCCCCCACCCGAAACCCTTTTTTTTTTTTTTTTTTTTTTTTAGGGTTTAATTTTTTTTTTAAATTTATTTTCTGGCACTAAAGCGCTCCGGGGCGCGCTGCCTGCAGGGTGTGCTGTCTGCGGGGCGCGCTACCCGCGGGGCGCGCCGCCTGCGGGGCGCGCTACCCGCGGGGCGCGCTGCCCGCGCGGCGCGCTGCCTGCGGGGCTGGGGCGACGGGCCAGGGCGCGGGCTGGGGCGACGGGCTAAAGCGGGCGCCTGGGCGACGGGCTAGGGCGGGCGCCTGGGCGACGGGCTAGGGCGCGGGCCTGGGCGACGGGCTAGGGCGGGCGCCTGGGCGACGGGCTAGGGCGGGCGCCTGGGCGACGGGCTAGGGCGCGGGCCTGGGCGACGCGCTAGGGCGGGCGCCTGGGCGACGGGCTAGGGCGGGCGCCTGGGCGACGGGCTAGGGCGGGCGCCTGGGCGACGGGCTGGGGCGGGCGCCTGGGCGACGGGCTGGTGCGGGCGCCTGGGCGACGGGCTGGGGCGGGCGCCTGGGCGACGGGCTGGGGCGGGCGCCTGGGCGACGGGCTAGGGCGGGCGCCTGGGCGACGGGCTAGGGCGGGCGCCTGGGCGACGGGCTAGGGCGGGCGCCTGGGCGTCGGGCTAGGGCGGGCGCCTGGGCGTCGGGCTAGGGCGGGCGCCTGGGCGACGGGCTAGGGGCGCAGGCTAGGGGCGCTGAGGGCTCTAACGCGCGGAGGAGGAGGGCGCTAAGGCGCGGAGATGGCGCGGAGGGCGCGGAGGGCGCGGAGGCTAAGGCGCGGAGGGCGCGGAGGGCGCGGAGGGCGCGGAGGGCGCGGAGGGCGCAAGGGTGCGGAGGGCGCAAGGGTGCGGAGGGCGCTAGGGCGCTAGCTAGGCTAGACGAGAGGATCGACACCTACTCATGATACCATCTCAAAGTTAGCGAACAACGGAATGTGTGAACTAGGGAAACAAGGGATACAAATAGCAACCCTAAAAGTGTTGTACTCCCTAGAGTGCTACTCACTGTAGCCTAAGAACCTATAATAACATTTGACAGTTTCTGATAGGTTCTGCTTGTAGTGCAGGGTATTGGATTCTGAGCTGTATTGTACAGCGTCCTAAGACTTACATCTACTGTAGCTTCACGTGAATAGTAGCAAGTATTGCAACTCGTTACTGCATTAACATACCATAAATCAACTCAAATAGCCAATCGAACTGTTGCACACATTTCAGGTACTTTACATAACATGCTAAAAAATTGTAACATGAGATAGCACCGCTGACAATTCCATCTACACCCATCAGCAAAACAATGCAAGTAATATAACGCATAAACGAACCTGATATCTGACTGCCTCCACCTGTCGTCATTCAAATCTGTTCAATCCATACCCGTAAATGAGACGTCCACTCAAGCTCACACTATATCTAGGTATATCTTTCTCACGCTGGTTTGGCGCTTCAAGATAACAGCCCTCCTTGGGCTCTCCCAACCCACACCACATGCATTCATTTCACGCACCCCCATCACTCACATTGTTCAAAACAACAGTGCATCGAGACAGCAGTGTAAGTGACTTCACTCGGGGGTCGTCCTGTCACTCCAGCTATTCCCATTCAGCATCACGATTCACCACCACTCAGCACCACCATAACTCAGCAACACAATCGAGCAGGCTCTGGTACTTCCATTCCACAACCAATTCACCTCAAACCATCAATCCACTTCGGACATGCCGAATCCTCACGCGCTGCACACACACACATGCCCCTCACGCTGCGGCGCCATCGAGGCTGAACCCTGAATCCTCCAGGTCCGAGGGGGAAGCAAGCAGCGCGGAGGAGGGCGAGGAGGAAGGAGAGGAGGGGGCGTCGTCGCAAGGCCAGCCAGCTTCAGCAGCCACAGAGGCGGCGTCATGCACGAGGCGGCGAGTGAGGCGTGTGAGGGAGAGCATGGCGGAGCGAGCCAGGTCCAAGGCCGCGTCCTTGTCCCTCAGCTGCCTCTCCATGTCATCCGCTGCTGCTGCTGCTGCTGCTGCGCCTACGCCTGCGCCTGCTGACGCAGCTGTAGCTCCCCCATTTTGCCCGCCTTGCACTGCCGCGCCGTTCGCAGGCGTGGCGGCCGCTGCTGCAGCAGCAGTTGCTGCTGGAGAGGCAGCGGAAGACTCTGCGGTGGGCATGAGCGCAACCCGCACCGACGCAGCAGCAGCAGCAGCAGCAGCCGCACCCGAAGCAGCAGCACCATTAGTCGCGCCTGGCAGTGCTGCTATCGCTGCGGCAGTCAAGGAGGCGTCAGCACATTCAGTGGTGAGCTCGGAGCTGAGGTCCGCCAGGGCTTTAAGTGCCGCCACTGCCGTCTCCACCTCCACCTTCGCCACCTGCCGTGACAGCGTCGGGGGGAAAGGCGGGGGGGGAAGGCGGGGGGGGGGGGGGGGGAGAAGAAGAGGGAAGGGTGAGTTTTGAGACTTTCCAAAACCCTTCGCCAACTGCTCCTTTGCAACCTGTTCTCACGGGGTGGGTGTGGGGGCAAGGGGGGAGGGGGGAGGGAGAAGTGAGGGTGAGGAGGCCACGGCGAGAGAGGAATGGCAGGATAAGGACGAGGGGAGTGAGGGGGGGGGGAGGGTTGGGATGAGTCGGGAGGGGAATACAAAAGAGAGAAAGCGGTTGTTTGGGTAGGCAGAAAATAGGCAGATAGAACAAGCCAGGACACAACAAGTTTGAGCATTGTAGCCACACACACCCAGCCTCGTAACACATGGCCTCAATCAACCAACCACACCCACACCGATCCAACACACTGACTCCCACCACACACCTCCCACACCACCACCACCCAATGCCCCTTCCTCTCCACACCCAGACCCCTCTCCTCCCCGCATCCCCTTCCCCCTACCCATTTCCCCCGCGCCCAGCATGCGCGCGCGCTCACCTCCAGCTCCAGTTTCGTCACCGCGGCCTCCTCCTTGAACGCCTTGGGCGCGCCCGCCTGCGCCGCCGCCGCCGCCGCCTCCGCGGCCGCGGACACGAGCCCGTTGGCGCGCGCGTACTCGCGCAGCGCGGCGATCTCCTGCGCGCCCTCCACCAGCTCCCCCTGCACGCGCTGCAGCTGCGCCTCGCGCTGCTGCCAGCGCTGCTGCAGCGCGGAGAGCGCCACGTCGCGGTCCGCGAGCGCGAGGCGCGCGACCTCGAGCTCCACCTCCTTCTCGCGCAGACACTCGCGCACCGCGTCCAGCTCCGCCAGCAAGCGCTGCCCCGCCATCGACTCGCGCGCCTCCTTATCCTGTGCGCAGGCGCGGGGAGGGGGACGGGGAGGGGGACGGGGAGGGGGATGGGGAGCGGGAGCGGAAGGGGAGGGAAGGGAGAAGGAGCGGGATATGGGGGGAGCAAGGGAGAGGGGAAAAGGGGAGGGAAGAGAGCGGGGGAAAGCGGAAGAAGGGAAGATGTGAGGAGGGGGAGGTGCTAGAGCGTGGGGCCAACGAATGGAGAGATTGGTGCAAGCGGCGAGAGAATGTCCGGGCCGCAGGTTGAGAGCGACAAGGTAGAGAGGCTGATAACGGGACGGGAGGAAGTAAGAGAAGCCAGTCGAAACCACGAAAAACTCACACCACTGGCCCGTCCCAGCACTCCACCCCTCCACCCCCTCCACCCCCTCCACCCACTCCCACACCCCTCCCTTGCCCGTCCGTTCCTCTTCCCCCAACCCCCCTGCTATCCCCCGTCCCATCCCCCTCACCCTCCCCCTCGCCCTCCCCCTCCCCCCCGCCCTCCCCCTCGTCCGAGCGCACCTGCATGGTCTGCAGCTGCACCTCGCGCTCCAGCAGGCAGCGGTTCGTGGCGAACAGCTCGTAGTTCGCCTGCGCCAGCACGGACCCCTCCGTCACCACCGGCACCGCCGCGCCGCCCGCCGTCGCCGTCTCCACCAGCAGCCGCGACAGCCCCGCAATCTGCTCCACCACCGTCTCCGCCTCGCTCAGCTTGATCCGCGATTTCTGCAGGTCCGATCCCACCGCTTCCAGCGCCTCCTCGCGCTCGCGGAGCTTCTCCGCAACCGCGGAGACCTCCACCTCCCGCTCCGCCAGGACCTTCCGCGTCAGCAGTAGCTCGCGCCGGAGCGTCGCGACCGCGCGCCCGGACTCCTCCAGCTCCTGGGTCTTGGCGCGCGCGTCGGATTGCGCCGCCGCGAGGTCGGATTGCGCGGCTTGGAGCTCGAGCCGCGCGGTGAGCAGCTCCGCCTCGCGGAGTTGCAGCGCCAGCTGCGTGTCCGAGAGCGCCGCGCTCGTCCGGCGGACTTCCTTGCGCAGCGCGGAGATCTCCGCGGTGGCTTCCTCCGCGCGCTTGCGCTCCGACAGGAGTTCCCCCTCCAGCACGGTCACCGCGCGGGACTGCTCCGCAAGCTTCGTCTCCGCGGCAGCGAACGCCGCGCGCGCAGACTGCAGCTCCGCGCGATCCTTGGCCGCTTCTTTCTGCACGCGCGAAAGCTCGTCCTCGCGCTTCCGTAGGAGCGCCACGAGCCGCCCAGCTTCCTCCTCCTTCGCCTTTAGCTCCGTCTCCTGGTCCGCGACCTCGTCGCGGAACCGCCGCACCGCCGCGCGGGACGCAGCGAGTTCCGCCTCCGCGTCGCGCAGGAGAACCGTTGCGCGGTCGAGCTCTAGCGACGCGGAAGATCCCGCGGAAGTGACTCGACGCAGCTGCTGGCGCAAGAGCTGTAGTTCCCCTTGTGCCGCGTGCAGCGCAACCGCACGCGTGGAGAGGTCTTCCTCTGTGGCGGAAAGCTTGCGCTTCTTCCCCTCCAGGTCCGCGTCTACCGACGCAAGCTCCGCCCGCTGCTGCTGCAACAGCTCGCGCAGCGACGCTACCTCATTCCGCCGCTTTTCCGCCTCCGCCTCTACCTCCGCCAGCTCCGCTTGGTGCGCGGCAATCGCCGCGCCAACGCTGTCCACGGCTTCGCCCTGCTTGGCGGCTTCCGCGCGCACTCTCCGCACCTCGTCCTCCTTCCCCGCGAGCTGCTCGCGCACACGCGTAAGCTCTTTCTCCCTCTCCCGCAGCAGGCCAACCGTCCGCTCGAGCTCCTCCCGCTGGGTCCCCAGCTGCCCGCGCGCGCGGGCGAGCTCGCTGCGCTTTCCCGCTTGCGCCATGCGCACCGCCTCGAACTCCCGCTCGCGTTGGATCAGCGCGGAGCGCGCCACCTGCACCTCGTGCTCCTCCTCTCTTAAAATCTCCTCCGCTTTCATCAGATCCTTCTCCTTGCGCCGTAGCGACTCGAGCACGCCCACCACGTCAGCCTCCAGCTGCCCTACCGTCTCCTCCAATTCCGCCTCCTCCGCGAAATCCGGACTATCGGTCCGATCCTCGTACCGCTGCGCTTGTGCAAACAGGCGCTCTAGAACTGCGCGGGTGGCCTCGCCCACGCTCTGCCACTGCGTCGGCGGGTCATTCTGCTGCGGCTGCGCGCGGGAATGCGCCGAGGGCAGCTGCCCCCAATTCCCCGCGCCGCCGTTGCCGGAATTCTCGAATTTCCCAATCCCGCCGCTGTTCCCTGCGTTCCCGTTGCTGTTGCTTCTGGCCCCGCTAATGTTGCCGTCGTTGCTGTTGCTCCCGCCAGGACCGTTGTTGCTGCCGCTGCTGCTCCCGCTCCCGCTGCTACTGGACTTATTCAACACGGCACGCGCCAGATCCACTAACGGGCCGCGGCTCGCCGGGTGATGGCGGGAATTGCCGCTGCTTTTCCCGCCGCTGCCGCCAGCGGGTGCGCTGCCGATCTGAACAGCGCGGCCCTTGAAGGCGGAAGAGTGCGCCCATCTGGGGAGTGATGGCGGCGGAACGGTTGCTCCGCTCCGGTGGAGGGAGGAGACGGGTGATGGCGACACGGACATCAGCGCCGCTGACCCTCCCGATGAAGCCGTCTGCACAAGTAACGCGGTGAAGAAGGGTAAGGGGAGAGAGGAAGGGAGAGAAAGAGAGGTGGAGAGAAGAGGGAGAGAGAAGAGAGGGGAGGAGTAAGCGGGGAAAGAAGATGGTGGGGGTGCGAGAGTGAGTGATTGAGTGGGAGTGACATCGCGCAGAGGGATCAGGAGGTTAGATGCAAAACACGAAAGAATCTGAAAACAGAACAGGTCGGGAAAAGGGGCGGGGACTGCGGGGTAGGATGGTGAAAAAAATGCACTCGACGGAATTACTGTCAGAACGTCGGAATTATCCTAACGCAATGCCGAAACCGACATACGACGCTGGAGAAACCAATCGGCGTGGCTTACAACTGATGTCGAGCGAGTCGAAGCTCCAAACATAGCCATTCGTCAGGAGACGCTGCGCTGTCAATGCCCTCTCGGTATCTGCCGGAAGTTGACTTAAGAGAGACTTAACGTTCTCGGTGACTATAAGTTGCCTAATTTGCCTCAGTAGCTCCTTAAGATCACAAGCTCAACCAGAGGCGAGAACTAAGCAGCTAATAGCAGCCTTAAACAGCTGCGCTGATTCGCAATGTAGGAGATGCTCTCTTAGACAACCTTGCCATTCTAAACAAGGTTAAAGCTCGAGGCCTCGAAACGTAAGAACGCGATGCGAGTCAATTGCTGATGGTCACTCAGGATTATGGGGGTGGGGCGAGGAGCAGGGCAGCAGCAAACCAAGACTGAGAGGAGAAGGGGGTAAGGGGGAGGGGGAAGGGGAGGGAGGGAAAGTTGCTGTGCTGTGCCGTTTGGTGGGTGGGGTGGGGGGGAAGGGATGGTGGAAATCAAAAATCGCGATGAAGGTGGTGGGTGGTGGTGGGCCGCGCGCGCAGTGGAATTTGAGTCTGGCGGGCAGGCTAGCGGGCTGGGGGAAGAAACAGAGACTGGGGTAAGGGGGCGGAAAGGTTTGCCTTCCTTTCTCCTTTCCTCCTTGCACGCACCAAGGAAAGGAGGTCAGGAGGGAGGGAGGTAACGGGCAGTCTTGGAGTTGGTTTGGTTGCTTCGGAACGGAAATGGGTGGACGGGGTTGTTCGAATATCTCATTATTTCACACGGGAATTCCAGTGATCGCATTCGTATCACGAAGACGAGACTGCTCGTCTAGTGGCCAACGAACTGTTGCGAAAGCTAGCAGAAGTAGGAAACCGTACTGCTATTGGCAGAACCCCTCCATAGAAAAAATATCTATATTTTGTGCAATCCAATGCAGATGGGGCAAGAACGACCTTGACGGCTTGCTGGTTCAGCTTCAGAGCGACAGCGCACTGGGCCAACGAGATGCATGAAGCCCATGTTCTGGGAGAGGTGAACGACAAGGGCCACCAGATTGAAGAGCCACGCGGGTGACATGGATTCGAGGAAAGGGTTGCCCGGCTCACATACGCTGGACTTCATGGAGAGAGTATTGAAGTAATGGAACAATGAACATATACTGAAATCCATTCCAGAACTTACAAATCACAACTAACACTGACAACAGCTGTCTACAAATATATAACTCTACATGATACAAGTGGTAATCCTGCATATACAGAGTAATGTACTCCCACAGTCCTATGTAGCAGCAAGTTGAATTGCATCCAACTTATCTCTAAAGGAAAAAACAAAGAGTCCACTGCAAGCCATGGAAAGCGTGTATGTACAGAAACTCCTCATCGGTGGTTGGCTGTCTTTCGAAGCATGCTAGTCAGCTAACCCCAAGCATGTGTGCATGCATAGTTCACTATTAACTTCCCATCGATCGAAAATGCCTGCAGTGAAGGACACACAAGTGTGAAGTGTAGCAGGTAAGACATGGAAATGTGGAATTTGTTGCACAGTTGCAAAAAATACATTTCACACGCTCAGACACACAGAAATGAATACACTTGTCAGAGCACAACGCCATGATGGGTTGAAGAACTGCAGTTGAACAATGGTGGTGAGAAAAGGATGGGCGAAAGCAGGATTCCACGACCAGGGGGCAATGCTCACATCAGCAAGGTCAGCAATGTGGTCATCTGGCGATGGAGAGAAGGAGCTGTTGACATACAAAAACTGCACGGGGAGGAAACAGGAAAAGTGGACTAGAGATAGGAAAACTACCGAGTGTCGTCTTCAAAGAAACAGCAATATACGCGAAGGTAAGACGGGAGGTCAACACCAAGAATGGGCAAGTCAGAAATAAAAGCAATGGGATGCCTAGGAGTCCAAACAGAAGGAAAGCGAAGCACAACAAGGGGGCTTGTGCTGCATGGAGAAGGAATTGAAATAAAAGGAGCAGAAAGAAATGACGGATTCAAGGTCAACGTGAACATTTAGGAGTGCATCCGAACTCATGCACCACTCGACCTCATACCCTACCTAGCCCCTCGATGTCACTCCACCCCCATCATTTCCCCATGCAACCACTCATACACACACAAACACACCCACACACTCACACACACCAGAGTTTCACGATGCAGTTGCCGCCTGAGAAACTCAATCACTTTTGAAAAGCGTTCCCCTGCTGCAATCTGAAGCACCCATTGTTCGGGAATAATTGGATTGATTGGGAGTCAAGGAGTTGTGGTGAATGGAAAGGCAGGACTACACAGGGAGCACAGAGCAAGGGAGGGAGGAGGACAGACAAGGAAAAGAGAACCACATGGCTAGGTGGGAGAGTGAAACACACAGCAAGGAAGAGTGGGCGGGCGGCTGTGGGATAATCCGACAAGTGCAGAGAGAAACAACACGACGGGACTGACGAGGTATTAGGGGCTGTCCACGAGGCAGGAACTACCTTGAATTTGGATTGTTTCAAAATGGGTGCATCACCGGTTGACCGAAACAGGATGACAACTGAAAGCAAAGACACGCAGGAGATCGAGACTTGAGAACGAGTTCTCGGATATCCAATTTCACAATATCTATCCCTCTCACTACGTGAATCGACGGAACGACAGCTATGGAAGACATCGAGTGGGACGGATTGTCGCAACGGCTCCACCACAACCATGGCGCGCTACATGAGCCACCACTAAGATACGAAAATTTAAGTCGAGGAGAATACCTTTGCGGGAGGATGGAGGCGCCAAAAGTGCTGCTGCCATTGACGAACAGATCAGTGCCTGGTGGAATCATAAGAAATTTGTCCCACGGCGCCGGCATAAGGGCAGGTCTCAGTGTTCGTTTAGCGCGGTGCAAGACGTTAGAGAACGGCTGGAAGCGATTTTCGGTTTCCAGCACCAGACTCGACCCTCCAAATATGACAAGTCCTTACTGCCATACAGCACGACCCTGCGTTGCGTTTCACCTGTTGTGAGTTTGGGTGTCTCTGTAGCATTGAACACTATCCATCAGGACTTCCGATAGAAGTGCTCAACTGTGGCATTAAAAATGTTTACTGAATCTCGCAACAGTTGTGGCAACCAGGTAGCTGCAGGCAGCAGCCACCCTCCACGCCCGGGTCTACCATTCATTATTTGATAACAGCAAAAAGTGGACCCTACTCACAAATGATCATGGCCTAGGCTCGAATAGAACCACTCAGCACATTCCAGAATTGAAAGAACGTATTAGACAGGTGGTAAGGAACAAGCCTACTCAGTCTTCTTAGACTTGGGCTTGTTGAGAGCACCCCGGATCTTCTCCTCAGCGAGCTTGTAAACCTTATCCATCTCTGCCAGAACCTTCTCAAGATGCTCGTCCACCTGGTCCTCGAACTTGTCATACAGAGCGGGAAGAGAGAAGGCGGTGACGATGGCTGCACAGGACGAAAGGATTGGGGAGCGGGAGAAGGTTAGGAAACTGGCGCCGATGACGAGGTGAGAAAGACGAGGGTGCATAGGATTTGGATCTTACCAATCAAGACGAGGGTGAGAAAGTGGAACCATGCACCCACAACTGCGACCACGTAAAGAGCGGCGAGCACCTGCAAGAACGAATTCACCTGGTAAGACAGCTAGGCAAGCGAGAACGAGCATACGCGAGAATATGATCGATCATTACCTTGGCAAAAAGGAGGTAGTCCTTCCCGAGGGCGACGTCGTGTGCAAGCTTCAACATTGTGTTGATCTCGTCACGGATATAGATCGCCGACTTGCTGATTGAGTCCTCGGAAACTTTGAGCTCCGGGAGGGGAGGTCCAGACCTGTCAAAGGGGCAACAAAACGATGCGAGATCCGTTACTACGGTACATATTCTCCTGTGTGTTAGTAGCGCTTCGAAGGATGATGTCTGTCGATTGTTGTGTGAAAACGGGTGCTTACTTGTTCAAGAAAGAAGCCACTTGAGCCCAAAGGAAGAAGGTCGTGACAACGATCATGAGGCCATCAGCGGCCAATGTGAGAAGGGTCATCCCCGATCGTTCAAAAAAGAACCACAGAGCGACGACGGACAGTAGGATTGCAGAGCTCGACTTCCAATCCTTCCAGAGCAAAGTGTCGGCAACTGAAACCGGAAACAAGAGTACGTTACAACCTTGAATCCGCTTCGTAAGGGATCAACTGCATAGATTTGCGACGCCGCACGCACCTTTCCCTCCACCAAGAAGCTCACTGACAGATTTCGTCCTGCCGAAAGGGCGAGCCTTCACTGGAGAGGGCTCGACCGCAGGCGCGACCTCAGACATCATAGAGTCAGCCATTGTTTCAAACGAGGGCGTTTGTGCAAGATGAGCTAGATAATCTTGACGTCTGGGAAAACAACTCAGAGTAGAGATGAGTGACTACGACAAGAGGGAAACGAGAACAAGGCTCGTTTTGCCTGCTCCAACAGACTGGGAGGATTCTTCGGGATCTGGGACGAAGCTTTCCTCACAGAGTCTTGGAAAGACGGGGCAACCTCTTGCAACAGCGGATGCTGTAGCTTCGCATTAACATTCGATATTAACACATGAACTGACGGCTCACATGTGCTTGACACATTTCTTTACACGCACATGTTGATAGCAAATTCGAGCA